GGGGTGGGTGGGAGTAGAGGTGCGCTTGCCTCCCTGCAGGGGGGCATCTGAGTAGAGTGAATGGGCAGCGCAGTCCAGCCAAAAATCGAGAAGGAGCATCTCCTTAGGCTTCAGGGTGGACGTCACATTTCTGGGACTGTCAGAATTAGACAGCCTTGCCGGGGACCCAGTGACGAACAGACACACTCTCATGCTGAGCACCTTCTGCTTCCTTCTGTATTTTAGGGAGGCGGCCCACAAGAGCAGCATCCTCAACACTAGGGACACAGCTCTGAGTCACGAGGAAGTGGTCATCTCTCCTCAGGGGCTACCTGGTTCAACTAACAAGCAAAACGGCGTATTGGAAGTTTTCCCATGGCAGAATGCGGCAGGAGCCCGAGGAAGACGTAAAAGAGCCTTTGACGTGTACTCTCGAGCATGAAACGCCTACATGGGGCGCACCGTGCGCACTAAGCCACGGAGATGCCATCTTGGTCCCTGACTCCTTCCCCCCTCAACCATCCCTCTTCGTTCCTTTGCAAGATGCCCAAAATTGGAAATCTCAGAAATGGAAGATGTCAGCCCCAGAGAATCAAAAGCATGAGGTTCAGCTCATCTGCAGAGTTGAACTTGAGGACTCTGGAGGAGCCCCAGGGGCTCAGATAGTCTCATCCATGCTGAGCCCTTAGGGGAGCAGCCAAAACAGAGGGCATTAAGGACAGAGCGTGTGTGTTCTTAGCCTATCAGCAGGAGTAGGGACATTGCTGGAGCTGGAAGGACCTGAAGGAGGATCCTGTGCCCTCTGAAAGCTCTAAGGCATGTGGACACATTCGGAATGAGCATGTCATCCAGTGAGGTCTCCCAGGCAGCCCTGCGACAGGTTGATCACGCCCTCTGGGCTCCCGCAACAGCTCAGCACGGCACTGCAGGCCTGGTGACATTCCTATTTACCTCTGTTTTCTCGCAATTGCAATAGTTGCTCTATAAATGGTCGGGGGTGGGGGGCGAGAGAGTGGTTGCCGAATAAATGACAGGAAGAGGGAAAGAAAAGAGGCAGGACTGGGCAAGAAGGTCCTTGCTCCCTTACCCACAAAGGTGAAGCGCTCCACGGGCGGGCGGACGCAGCAGATCCGGCTTAGGCTCTCCCCCACCTTTCCCAAGATCTTGGCTATGGGAGAGAGCAAGACAGACAGGGACAGAGGGAGAGAACCACTCGCAACTTAACACTCACATCAGCCCGGCCTCGGGCCACTGTAAACGACAGGGGTGCACTGGAGCAGGGTGGTGGGTGGCAGAAGGAGGGTAGAGAGAAAGAACAGAAATATGACAGCAAAAAATTCCGTCTTCTCATTCACAGTCCCAGACACAAGCATTTTGAGCCGTAGACTGGAATCTATTTTCTGGTCATGTTCATTATATGGTTGAAAAATTGGAAAACATAGAAGAGGAAAATATATAAAGAGGAAAATTAAAAAGCATCCATAATCCCACCCTGGAGATAACCGCCACTGACGTACTGGTTTACTATTTATTTTCTTCTCTTTTACAAATGTGTATTACGCAGCCATGTGTGTATAACATCAGTTGGATGATTTTCTATGTTTAAAGAGCATGTAAGCTGTTTGCTTTTTCTTTTTTTTTTTTTAATATCATAAGCATTTGCCCATCACTGATCCAAGGAGACTCGGCCTATGGCAAAAAAATTCATTTGGAAAATTTCTGCTGGGCTAAGGCATTCTTTCCCATGCAGACGGACTTTAAAATAATCAGACATCCTACTTTGGCTGAGAGGGATCTGGTTGTCGATAATCTTTCTGGTCTCTACTCCAGAACTTTTTTTCTGAGCCCCTACAGGTAGCTGTATGCAAACCGAAATTCTGGCTCCTCCTTGTGAATTACCCCATGTGTAACAGATGAATGACATAAGAGCGTATCGTCTCTAGGCCTGAAAAATAATACCGGGATCTGTCCCCTGCAATTGAGCTGGAAGAAAACATTAGAAAGAACATAACCTTGGAATCAGACGGTCCTGAATGCGAATTCTGGCTCTTCTATTTTTGAGCTGTGTGGTCTTAAGCAAATCACTTACCATTTCTGAATCTCATGTAAATGGGAACATGATATCTCTATCGCAGAATCGCTGCATTAAATAAGAACCCCTGTAGAGCTCTGAGTGCCATGCGGGCACACAGTCGGGTAAGCGTTGGGGGTCCATGCTCTCTGTCACCGAAGAGGTGGCTAAGAGTGTGGGATTCTGGACGCAGACTGCTTCGGTTTGTCTCCTCGCCCTATTACTTCCTCACTGTGTGACCCTGGGCAAGAGCCTCAATTCTCTTGGAAGGGGCTCAGAAAAATGCTTCCCTCTGTATCTTTAATTCCCAGTTAAGGCAACTATATTTATATTTAAATGCAGAAGAATGCACACCATCACCCTTGTCTCTCTCGGTCTCTCCATCTCTCTCTGTCTCTGATTGCAACTGTTTCTCTCAGATGCTCTATATTAAGAGTTCTCAAAGTACGGTCCCTGGACCAGAGCATCAGCATCACCTTGTTAAAAATACAAATTCTCCTCCTACTTCCAGGCCTACTGAATCAAATTCTGGGGCGGCGCCCAGCAATCTGGATTTCCACAAGCCCTCCAGCGATTCTGAAGTTTGAGACCCACTGCTGCACAGCAGTGTTGCCCTACCTGCAGTGGGCTTGGCGGGCACGTTGTTGTTCTGATAAATGGGCTGGGGGGTCTCATTCTGCGGCTGTCCGATCACAGGTGTCATAGAAGGTGTGTTGACATTGGAGAGGATGCAGCCAGTGACCCTCTGGGGAAAGGGCAAAATGCAGAGTCAGTGTCATTACCCAGGTAACTTACAAAAAGCGTTTCCCAGTCATCTCCAAACGCTTGTGTGCTGTTCTTCACAGTGAGACCGCCTGGAACCGAGGGAGAGGCCTGGGGTGGGTTCTAGACACAGCTGCACTGAGCAGCACACTAGGCTGGCGGGAGACAGGATGACAGCTCAGTGGCTAACGCATGGGATGTGGTGTCGCACAGACCTCAGTTTAAATTGGAGCTCTGTGCCTTTCTGGCTGTGCGACTTTGGGTAGTTACTTAGCTTCTCTTGAACCTCAGCTCAGGAGTCTAGCATGGAGAGGTGACATAGCTACCTTTCTGGATTGTGGTAAGATTACATGAGTGAGCGTACGCCAAGTGCCTATAGAGTGTTTGGCACGTGGCGGGAACGTCGTGCACAGCAGCTGACGTTGTGACCCGTGCAACGTGCACACGGCCCTCGCTGCCTGCTTCATGGGGCTCGGATGAGGCCGTGTCTGTGGAAGGGCTGTGGAAGCTTGGGAGAGGTCACACACACACCAGGCGTTATCACCACCTGTGCTTCTCCCGGCCAGAGGCGCCAACGGCAGGGCCGAGCCAGAGAGCGGTGCCAGGCAGAGCAGGCTGTGCTTGTGCTGCAGGAGGGTGGGCGGGGTTCTGGGCACTGCTCCTCAGTGTGAATACACGTTCCGGAGCCAACCGGAAATTCCGTGTGCATTAACCATTGTCTTGTGTTATCTGGCCGGCTGCTTCTCTCTAGTGCCTCAGAAAACAGGGCAGATAGTGCAACATTCGTCACAGCTGACCCAGAAGCAACCCCCCCGCCCGCGGGGAAGGGAGAGTAGCTATGGGCAACAGAAACAAAGGATGCCTTTCCAATCTGTTTAGCGTCACAAGAGCCACTGCTAATTCCAGGTCCCTTCCTTGAAAGCCGGCATCCCGCCCACCCCCTACCACCCTTTCTGGATTACTGAGTCCTGCTGCCAGAGGACCCCAAGCCCCAGGGCTGGGGTGACCCTCCGAAGGCACCTCTCCCACAGGCCACGCTGCCGGCAGAGCAGCGTGTGGGCCTCGAGCCGTGGAAGTCATTTGTCTTGTGGGGGTAGCCCGTCACTTCTGTAATGTTCCTGACAAGAGGAGGTCACAGCAGCACCTGGCACATCTGGGAGCCAGCCGAGGCCGGGTACCGTGGGGTCTTCTCAGCCTGCCTGGGGGTCCCTCGAAGAGGGCTGGCCGCCTGTCCCGCTCTGCCTTCATCAGCTCTCTGATGGCTCTTGCCTTCTCAGGGGCCTTTCCAACCATGGCCTTGAGTCACTTCGTAACCCCCTCTCCGACAGGTCTACTCCCCAGGCCAGGGACACCGGCCTGATGCTAGGACTGGGGAGGCTGAGGGTTATTGGCAAGTGGCCCCAAGCCCCTGCCCTAAGGCAGGGGCCATCGTGACCTCCATTCTGCGCTGGTGTGTGCCCCTCGCTGCAACAGCCGGGCTCCTGGCCATGCTCGTCTGGCCCAGACGCATGCCTCTGGGCGTGAGCAACAGCAGAGAGAGGGTTCTGGAAGCCCACGCATTTAGATAGCAAAACAGTACCCAGGCGCAGGCCTGCCTTTGGGGTCCCTAATTCCTCCCTTGTTCCTGGTGCCTGAGGCTCCCGTGTGACTAGAAGGAGCACAGGCTCCCAGCTGACATGACCCCTCAGCTGACATGGCCCGTGAGAAATAAAACTCGTGCGAAGCCACTGAGATTTTAAGGATGTTTGTTAGCCTATCCTGACTGATACATCCTTGGACGGTAAGATGGGATGTCTTTTCTCACTGCTGTTGTGGAGACCGGCACAGAGGAGCAGGTGGTGTCACCCTACATCAGAGTCCTTTCACGGGGACTAGAAAAGACTCCGGATGTATGCGGAGAGTTCTGCAAGCAGAGAGATGGGAGATGGGTTTTTCTCGGTTCCGTGAGGGGGAACGTAACAGAGGAAGCGACGGCCAGCGGGTCCTCCCAGCTTCTCTGGCACCCGGGCTCCCGGGAGTGTCTGGAGCCCGGAGGCTCCACGTCTGTTAAAACGAAGCCCAGCAGCATGGATGGCGGTGGCGGGTGACTGGGGCTGCTGACAGCTCCCCAAGGAGAAGGTTCTGACAGGCCCTCTGACAGGAAACCCCGATGGCATGGAGGCGTTCCCCGTGTTAGCACAATGCCATTTGGTTGTCGTCTGGGGCTGGGGACAGCCCGGTCAGGGCCGGCGGAGGCGAGCGGGATCGATGGCGTCTGGTCCCGGTCGGCCGGGCTTCTCGCTGTTGTGGGCCCTGCTTTTCATCCTGTCACTGTGGGAGTCGCTAGGTTGGTACTGATCTGTGAAGGGTGCTCTCTGCATGCGCTGGCCAGTGCTGCTGGCCGGCGTGGAACCCGTTCGAACCCGGCCCCCGGCTCTTCGGTCACGGCAGCCCCGCCGCGGCTCCAGATGCCCCTCCGTGCTCACTCGGCAGCGCGTCCGCAGCCGGCTGGCTCACTTCTCTGTGCTTCCTCGGACCCACTCGTCAAACGAGGCCTAGAGCACGGTCTGCCCGTGGGACTCGTGTGAGGAGCAGCGGGTGGGGATGATGGCACAGTGACGTCCGCACAGCACCCTCTGCCGGAGCGAGGGCACCGTGGATCCCAGACAGGTGAGGCAGAGGCAGGAGGACCTGGCCGCTTGTACCTCCTCCCAGAGTCCCCCGCCCCCCCTTCTCCTGCTTTTTTTTCTTGGTCTCCTTCTCTGCTCACTGTCTGAAGTCTTCTACCTATGGTCTCTTTCAATCCACCTTGAACTCGCTGCCAGGAGGTGAACTGCCCCAGGTCAGATCCCGCAGGGGGGCAAGGCAGACACAGCCCCTGGTGCTGCTCCGTGCTCCTCATTCCCCGTGCTCCTCATTCCCCGCCCTCCCCCGTGCTGGTCTCCCCCACGGATGGTGCGAAACCAGGAGGCCAGCAGCGCCCTTTCCACGGCCCGCCTGGCTTCTGCGGCCCGCCCGCCCCGTGGCGCGGCCCCGCTCACCTTCATGAGGTCCCGGTGGTGTTCCAACACGCTGCAGGTCGTCTGCCAGGTGTCCTGGTAGCACTCCCAGGGGTCCACCCTGACACAATCGGAAAGAGGTCTCCCTTGGTTTCCAGTCTCTTTCCTTAGTTCCCCTTCAAAGACCACAGTTCGGGGGGCTTAACAGACCTGGTCATACCGTGTACTTAGACTTCGAATCGGATAAGACATGGGCTTGAAATACCTTCCTGAGCCTCAGTTTCCCCTCTGTAAAAAGAGGGGTGCATGGCATGGGCTCCACACAGACATGCTGATACCAATCTGCGCATGTTTAACCCCAGCCCTGGAACCTCCCACGCGGGGCCTCGGGAGAGTCATGTGATCTTTCGGAGCGCGCTTTCCCGGTCCGTAGAATAGGCATAACAGCTGCAACGCTCTCGTGAGGTATTAGAAAGGCTCACTGAGTGTTACACGTAAAGCGCTTATTATAGCGTCTCGCTCTTATTCTCGCCTGCAAAATGGGAATTCTCCTCTGGACGTTATAGGATTGTGAGAGCCGGGCCCTCATCGAGTGGTGGCTGCACTTATCTGAGTTGGGGAACCTGTCCCTGTCTGCCTCCCTGCGCGGAGGGGTGCCTTGTGGGCACGGAGGTGGGCACGGCAGTCAGACTGGAAGGCGCAGACCTGCGGGCCGGCCAAGCCCTCCTGCACACCAGGACGCGAAGTGAGTGTGGATCCAACTCAGACTGATGCGGTTCACCACCTTAATTGCAGACTTAATGAGCTGCTAAATTGGGATGTTTCTCAACATTTTCTTAGCAGTTGAGCATTCCCTGCCCACCTTCCACCATGCACACACACCTGAGGTTCTCAGAGATGGGATCTCACTAATTGAGAAGACTTAGAGAGTCAGCCTGTCTTGAGCCTGGCTCCCCACAGATCCAGATCACCCCTTCCCTGAGATGGGCAGACACCTGACCTGGCTAAACAGGCTCCCCCATGTCCAGGGGCCCTGCCGTGCCCACCTCCATCTCTCGAGCTAGCTCCGCGCTTCCCTAGTGATCTCAGTTTGGAATTCTGATTTTCCAAGGGCCTAGAGCAATGCAGGCGGGGCAGACGGTAAGTGCTCAGTAAATGTTTGTTGAATGAATGAGGGAATTAGTTCAAAATCCTCTAATCACATCCAAACGGCAACAGCCTCCTGCCCAGGATTTTCCCAACTAGACTCCATTATCCCCAGGAGATCATGAGTTATAAGTCAAGAGGCCTCATTTCTATTCCCGACTTGACCACAGAAGTGCTGTTTACTCTCAAGCCCCTTGATTTCTCCGGGCTTGTTTTTCGTCGGAGAACAGGGTAGCTGTCTTTTGTTCTAACCTATATCCTGGGTGGATGAGAAAGTCTACTGAGGGCATGTGCTTTACACACAAGTCATTGAGCACCAATAACGAGGATCACTGTTTAATTATCACCGTCGCCTCCCTTCACGGCTCTCATTTCCACTCACCCATCTCTTCTCCGCTAACTCTCTGCATTCCTCATTCTGAGGTCAGCTTTTCTTCATTTTCCACCTTTCATGGAAACTTCTAGGTGCTGCTTATTTTTCCATGGAGGAAAATTACAGTACCCACGGTGTACCATTATTTTTTTAAAAAAACGTTCTCTACTCGTATGCAAATTATAACTGTAGGAACTTTGGGGAGCATAATTAGCATAATTAGTGGAAGCTTGCTTTAATTACACTGCAAGCTGAGCAGCTCGTGTCTGCCTTCTTAGTGGAATGTCTGAGGGAAAGGCAGTGAGTGCACGCTCGTCCCTATGCCTCCGTCTCCCGCAGCTCTGTCCCGCGGTCGGTAGGTGTGGGGCCCTGGAGAACGTGGGCTCAGGAAGGGGAAATAGCCGAGCCCAGGGAACATTTCCTGAAAGGCAGTGAGAGCTTGTGGAAGTGAGTGGAGATAAAAGTAGAGAGTCGTCGTGGATTTTCTGGCCATGCCTCACCCCAAACCCAATTCTTGGAAGCTCCAAGAATATTCCTGGATCCAGAAACACTGAAAGCTCCCTTTTTAGTTTCGTGGGCCCCATAGCTTGGTTAAAAAATAATGTTTCAGCTGGGCCACCCCTGCTGGTCTAACTGTGGCCTGCGTGGGGCTGTTAAAAAAGAAGACAGGCCCCACACGGAGTCACTTGTGCTAAGCCCACATTACCAAACCAAGACCTAATACCTACCTACTTGCAGTTTCAACTTCTCCCGAGAATGTAATTTGAACCCGTCAGTGTGGCAGTTCCTGGTCAGCTCAAGGGTAATCAGCCTGCCAGCCTCTTCCCAACCCCACAGGTAGGTCACCAAAGCCGGAAACAATCCACTCTTTCACCCTTTCTGCCTATAAAAGCCTCCTATTTTTTATGGCTCCTTGGAGCTCCTTTCTATTTGTTAGATGGGTTGCTGCCTGATTTATGCATCTTTGAATGAAGCCAATTTGATCTTTAAATCTACTCAGCTGAATTTTGTTAGCTAACAGGGCTAATTCCTCCCCTGGCATCCCCATCCCTGTAGGATCTAAACTGCTGCCAGGACCCGTCTTCTTTCTCCGCCCACCCCCAGTGGGTCCCAAGGCCCCCTGCCTCTGGCAGCATCAGGCCAGCCCTACCTGATCCAATCAGAATTCTGGACAGCCAGCTGACACATGATGAGACGATGCCGGCTTGACACAAGGCCCTGGGAAGCAACAGAGCAATCATTGGGACAGCCATCTGCTCCCTGCAGCCTCCCCGAGACACTATCCCAAGCCAGCCCATTACAAAAGTGCAGCCATTTTTCAATGGTGACAGAGAATGAAGGTGTGACCCCCTCTACTTGTCTATCTGCCACACAGACGAGCATGGAGAGGCAGAGGAGACAGGAAAAGAAGGAAGGGCGTGTAGAATAGACCACCTATAACAGGGCCGATAGGTGGCCTCCCCTGACGAAACGGCCAGTGTGCGCAGCACAGAGATGAGACTCAACATGGCAGATGCTGCCTTGTCTCATGGCTCAAACTGGCTGCTTAGGTGACCTCCCCCAGAGCCTACTAGGGGAGGAAGGGGAATGACTGAGAGAGCTCTTAGAGTTTCTGGGGACCAGAACCTAGAAGGGTAGAGGAAATTTCTTCCTTCCTCGCAATAAAAACTCAGAGAACTAATAGAAGGAAACTTCTTACACGTGATACAGAACATGCAGGGACGGAGGGTCAGCGAAATGAATTTTAAGTCAGACGATGAAAGGCATAAGCCTTCATTTCTCCTAAAATCCCAGGAAAGACTCGCCAAGGCCATACCAAATTAGCGAATTTGGTATCCACTCGGCCCTCGGCAGGTGTGCCTGCTCCTCTGTTACTGAGCGTGGATTGAGCCTGGTGCTGTGAGCAGTTGCCTGGGCTTGGGCAGCTGTTCCTCCCAGCTGCAGCCCAACACCCAGTTGCTCAGTTCTGACTGTGGTCCAGGGATGGGAAGCAGGATGCCTGCTACCAGGCATTTAGTGCTCTCAGGAATTGTAGCAGAGATGGCCGTGGGGCAGTCTGATGCCGGAAGAGCCATCAGGTCAGGAAGGGAGGGCGTGGGGGAGGGGCAAAAGAGGAACCCACCTGCTTTCCGTAGGAGTCGTGGACAGGAGAGACGATCCCGCCAATCACGATAAACCTTCCAGTTTTGTGCAGATAATCTCTGGCTCTTTCTAATTAACAGAAGAAAACCACACATTATAAAAAGGAAAAGTGTAGATTAAAGGTGATCATTGAAATCAATACGTTCAACTCTGAAAGGTCTATTTCCCTTCTTTCTTGCCATTTAAATAGAAAGTGCCAACTCTCAAAGCAAACGCTGGTGATTCAGAAGGTTATGGCAACAGATTTTAGCCCCCAAAGCAAAAGGATTTGGAACTCCAGGGGATTAATCCGGTTTTAAAGGTCCTCTGCTGGATAAGCCAGTATAGTTTAGAGGGATTTAAAACAAGCCCCTCATTAAAAGAGCAACAGACCAGAATTACCCCTATGATCACTTGCGGAAATTCCAAAATGCAGGAGTAATTTAAAAAAAGAGAAGCAGCAGAAGCAGCCTTCTTATATTATGAAAGGTGGGCTGATTGCTTCATCTCGCTACTCAGAAGAGAAAAACCACCGAAACAAATTTAAAGGGCCTTCTATGTAATTAGAGGAAATTAACAATCAGGCCGAAAAACCATCATTATGGTTGGTTGAGAAAAATTCAGACAGAGAATTATTCCTCCCGCCCCAGGAAGGAATTTGTGATGTTGTTTTTTCAAATTTACCAGACATACCCAATTTTGTTTTCATGAGAAAACTCAGCAACCTAGGAAGAGGATAAAAAATTTTATTCTCTTGCTTCCAAGGGGGTTCGTTGTACAAATCCAACAGGGCCTGAACTTGTACTGCTGAGAAAACGGGGCAAGGATTTATTCTACAGGCGAGGGATTCTGTAAGTGAACATGGGCTTGGTGGCAAGACTGGCTGTGTAGTTCATAAGCAAGTTTCCAGGAGGACCTTCTTATTAGCTTTCTTCAAACTTAAAACTAATTCTTATCACATTTGCTTTTTCTGTTAATGTGAAGTCTCTTAGTTTTCAAAATAATTAAGAGACTTTATTTTTTTAGCACAGTTTTACATTTACAAAATAATTTAATAGAGTTATGTATACTCAGATCCTCACCTTTTTATCTACCCCCCCCCGCCCCAAACACACACACACCCTGTTTCCCCTATTATTAGTAACTTGCATTGCTGTGGTACATGTTATACTTCATGAGTCCATACTGACACGTTATTATTAACTATAGGCCATAGTTTGCACTAAGATTCACTCTGTATTGTTGAGCTCCATGGTTCCCACAACTTCCTCCTTGGGTTTGATTAATTTGCTAGAGTGCCTCACAGAACTCAAGAAACCTATGTAGTCACTAGATTACAAATTTATTGCAAAGTATTTTAAGGCTATGAATCAATAGCCAGATGAAGAGATATGTATAGCGAGGTACTAAACAAAGGAGTTTCTGTCTTTGTTGAGTTTGGTGCCTAGAACTGAGAAGCATAGAGGAAATTTCTTCCTTCCTTACAATAAAAAAACAGAAAACTAAAAATAGAAAGGAATCTATTTCCCATGATAAAGAACATCCATAAAAACCTACAGCAAATGTCATACTTTATGGAGAAAGACTAAATGCTTTCTTCTTAAGATCAGGAAGAAGGCGGGGACATCTGCTCTCATCACAGCTATTCAAATAGGACTCGAAGTTCTAGTTAGCCCAATAAAGTAAGACAAGGAAATAGAAGACATAGAGATCAAAAAGAAAAAAAAAAGCAGTCTCTATTTTCATATGGCATAAAAGTCTACTTAGAAATCCCAAGAAATATACAAGGAAACTCCCAGAACAAGATCAACAAAAGAAAATTAATTGTATTTCTATATGCTAGCAAGAAACATGTAAAAAGTGAAATTAAAATAAAATACTTAACTTTGAATATAATAAAACATATACAGAACTTCTATGTTAAAAACTATAAAATGCCGATGACAGAAAGCAAAGATCTATATAAATGTAAAGACATACTGTGTTTCTGGATTAGAAGGCTCTACATTGTAAAGATATTAATTCTCCCCAAACTGGTATATTTTAATAAATTTAATGCCCTTCCTATCCAAATCCTAGCATGATTTTTTTTTGGTGTAAATACATACAAAATAATTCTAAAATTTATATAAAAAGGTAAATAAACTAGAATAGTGAAAATGTTTCAAAAAAAAGAAGAAACTGAGAAAATCAATCTATCCAAATTTCAAATCTTATTATATAGCTACCGTAATCAAGACTGTGAGGTATTGGCAGAGAGACAGACACACAGATCAATGAAATAGAATAGAGAGTCTAGAAATGACCCCACACAAGTATGGCCAACGGTGGGCAGCTGCAGAACAAAATAAGAAAGGAGGAGGAGGAGGAGGAGGAGGAGGAGAAAAAGCTCATTCTAAATCTTGCACCCTATACACAAGTTTATTCAATATAGATTGTAGATTTAAATCATGTAAAATGTAAAACTATAAAACTTTTAGATGAAAATCAAAGAAAAATTTAGGGCCCCCAAAACTTGGTGACCTCTTAGGCATGACACCAAAAATGTGATGCATAAAAAGAAAAGAAACAATTAATTAGACTTTGACGAAATTTTAAAAGTTTTACTCTATGAAAGAGACTGTTAAGAAAAAGAAAAAAACAAGTTACAGATTGAGAGAAAATATTTATAATCCACATATCTGAGGACTCATATCTAGAATATAGAAAATACCCTCAAAACTCAACAGTAAAAAAAACCCTAACAATTCAATTATAAAATGGGCAAAAGACACAAAGAGACATTTCGCTGATGAGGACACATAGAGAGCAAATAAGCACATAAAAAAAGATGTTCAGTATCGCTACACGTCAAGGAAATGTAAATTGAAACTATGAGGAGATATCACTTTTCACCTATCAGAGCGGCTAAAAGAAAAACTAATGATGATACCAAACACTGGCCAGGATGAGGAGAACCTGGATCTCACATGCATTTCTGGTAAAAATGTAAAATGGCAAACTACTCTGAAAAATGGTTTGGCAGTTTCTTATAAAACTAAACATACGCTTATCATACAACCCAGGAATGGAACTCCTGGATATTTATTCCAGAGAAATAAAAACATGTCTGCACGAAAACATGGACATGCTTGTTCATGTTAGCTTTATTCGTGATAACCAAATGCAGTAAACAAATATAATTTCCTACAACAGGTAAATGGTTAAACAAACTGTGGTACATCCATACTGTGGAATACTACTTAGCAACAAAAAGAAGCAAACTAACGATACAGGCGTCTCCAGTTCATCACGTTGAGTGAAAAAAGGCCAGTCTCAAAAGGTTGTATATATATGATCCCATTTATATAACATTCTGAGAAATTGTACAGATTAGTGGTTGCCAAGAGCTAGGGATGGGGAGTGGGGGCAGGGAAGGGGGTAGGTGTGACTCGAAAGCTGTAGCTCCAGGGAGATCTTCATGGTGGTGGACTGGTTCTGTATAATTGTGTGGGTTACATGAATCTACACATGTGATATAATGACACGTAACTATACACACACTTCATACCAATGTCAATTTCCTCATTTTAATTTTATACCATACTTCCAGAAAATGTAACCATTGGGGGAAATTAGCTGAAGGGTACATGAGATCTCTCTCTGCTCCCTTTGCAACTTCCTATGGATCTATAATTATTTCAAAATAAGACTTTTTTGAAAGTTTATGATAAACTATGAAATACTGTACAACTTTAAGGTGGTAGCGTGCACGTTCAAGCAAATGGAAAGCAAACTCATAGGGCTGGATGCTTCTGGAACGTTACCACTGCTCGTCCCTTTCCATTTTTGCTGCTATCTGGATTCAGAGATTTGGGAATATTATAGCTGAGGAGGTGTTGTCCAAAGCAGGGCTTCTCAGACTTTGATGTGCATATGAATTCTCTGGGGATCTTGTTAGAACATTCTGATTCTGATTCCAACAGTCTGGGTGGGGCCAGAGCTCAGGGCCAGGATTAAGGTGAGGTGAGAGGGGCAGGGTCATTCAAGTGCAGCGACAGCTCATGGCGTCATTTAAGATTATGACATTTTTCTCATCATGAATTTTTTGCATTAATTTTGATTTTTAAAAATATTACTTATCTCGATGACCGAGTATTGGGGTGATCCCTTGAATTCTGCACTGGAGGCAGCCATCCTTCTTGGCCTCACGCTACCCTTGGCCCTGCCTGAGACTCAGCATTTCTAACAAGCTCTCAAATGAGACCAGTGCTGCAGGTCTACAGACTATGTTTTGATTAACAAAGGACTGAAGGCGGTGGGACAGCCCCTGCAATGCTGGGACGCTCACGAAGCTCTTCTCCCTGCCCCACCCCACCCCACCCCACCCCACCGCCACCTCCACTCTGCATGACAAGGGCATTTCTGGACATTGGCAAGTCATCTTCTGGCAAAGCTACAGCTATGGTCCTGGAATTTGGTTTCATGCCAAGCTTCCCGAGATGTCTGTTTTTGTCCATCACCTCTGCCCCAGGGACAGAGCCAAATCACTGAAACAATTGTATACTCGAGTCTGACCCGCCCTCCATTTGCTCTGCCCTCCTTGCTCCTTCTTCTCTGGGAGGAGAAGCCCAAGGTGGCCGGGGCACTGCCGTGTCTCACAACTCATTCCAGGCCCCTGGGAACCAGGTAAATCTCCCTTCCCGACAGCCGCAGCTGGACCCACCAGCCAAGACGGACACAACACGGATGATTTGTCCATTAATAATAATTCATGAGACAGACACGCCTTGTCTGCCTCCTGGCTGCTCAGTGAACCCGGCTGACGTGTGTCATTTACTCTCCTATTCCAGGAAGCTAGTGGAGGAGATACTGGGGTCAGGGCATCAATGCTAACTTTATTTTTCCTTTTCAGCTGCAATTAGAAACGATCCCTTCCGAGTTGTATTCACAGCTGGAGCCTCCCGAATTGTCCTTGTTTGAGAATTACGTAAGGTGGTCTGGATTTGTAAACATTATAAGGCTTAGAAAGATCAAGCGCTGAATAACAAAGGAAGACTAAAGGGCTTCAAAAGGCCTCCCCAAGGTGTGCTGCTATAGCATGTGGATTA